CTGGTCGCTCCTATCAAAAACGGATCTTTGCCCACGTTTAAATTCGTTGAAGCAATATCTAACTGTGGTCGTAGATGGCGAAATGTCTCCATAAACACTATCCAACTTTGTTTTCATCTCCTCGCATTTCTTCCCATCCAAAAACAAAAAGCGAGTTACCGAACGATACTGCTCCTTTTCCATCTTAGCGAAAATAACGAAACACGTCTCAGTCGAATGGCTGCCAAATCTAAACTAACCTATCAGTCTGAAATTTGTTTTGGCGTGGTTTGATAGATGGCAGCACACGATGACAACACCAATTTCCCTCAGGAACGTCCTCCGTCTTCAAACACGGGTACTTATTGAACCGCCCTCGTATTTTATACTGTCAATTCCCTGACCTTTCCTGAGATACTTTGAATTTTGGTAGGGTTTAATTCAATTCATTGGTGAATTAATTTTTTTGAATTTACTTTACCCACTATAGATAACCTCAAATTGCTTATGCTGTCACTCCCTCGCCAGGAATCGAACCCCGGTCCCCTAGTTTTACGCCCTAGTATTCAGCATTAATGCATTGAATTTCTCTCTTGTTATCTTTTTACATATGTATACATATAAATGTTGTTTCTCACTTTAATCTAAATTTTATCCAAAACACATAAGCAACTAATAGTTCTTAGCATAATAGTGCTGGCATATGTACACACGTCCTATACATTTATGGTGACATTCAGGAAGGCCTTATCACCGACTAAATAACTAAAATTAAAACGGTATCGCAGCTATAAATCTAACAAGGCCGTGTCACGTTACGATGTGCTTTAGAGTCGACAACGGCATTTCTCAATAAACAAATAAAGCCGCTAAAACGACGTTTAAAGAACAATTATCGGCTCCTAAATTTCCTGGTCGCACGATCCCGCTAAGTGAAAGAATAACGTCGTAAACTTTTATGGTTTATAACCATCCATCCGCCATCGCTATATTGTAGCGGTCTCCATTCGTGCAAATACACATTTGACTAGACTCAATACAAACGTGTATACATAGGAGAGGGCTTCTAAAGGTCAGAACCTGCCTCTATCCCCAAGAGTTGAAAAATTGTACATATAATTTGTATATTGCGAGGAAACTGATAAGTACATACCGACCAGAACGATTTAGAGGTTTAGACCACTTATAGTATTTCAGAGGACAGCGCTTCTACTCCGGGTCCTTCCGCCGTGATCCACGTTTTTCTATAAGTTCTTAGGAACATTTAGGGAAATGCTGAGGCAGTAATAATATTCTTTCACTTCTCTTCAGTCTTCATTTCGTCCATCTCATCTTTCTTACTCCAACCACCATCCACTCATTCCCAGGGTTCTTAAAGGAGACTGAAGAAGGCCTTCCACTCTCCAGTCCAGCGTTACTAGTAAGTGAGAATGAAACGCCCAAACATTGTTAGTATTTGCATGAGTAAGGTGATCTAAAGGTTTAGACCACTTATAGCACTAGGTGGGACACCAATTCAATTCCAAGTCCGCCCGCCTTGATCCACGTTTTTCTATAGTTTCTTAGGAACATTTAGGCAAATGCTGAGGCAGTAATAATATTCCATAGATAATCTTTCACTTCTCTTCAGTCTTCACTTCGTCCATCTCATCTTTCTTACTCCAACCACCATCCACTCATTCCCAGGGTTCTTAAAGGAGGCTGAAGAAGGCCTTCCACTCTCCAGTCCAGCGTTACTAGTAAGTGAGAATGAAACACCCAAACATTGTTAGTATTTGCATGAGTAAGGTGATCTAGAGGTTTAGACCACTTATAGCACTAGGGGGGACACCAATTCAATTCAAGTCCGTCTGCCTTGATCCACGTTTTTCTGTAAGTACTTTCTTTCGAACATTTAGGCAAATCTTGAGCAGTAATAATCCTTCACTTCTCTTCGGTCTTCATTTCGTTCATCTCATCGTTCTTGCCCCAACCACGATTGTTAAAGGAAGCTGAAGGGGGTCTTCCGGCTTACACATCGGCGTAATCCAGCGTTACAAGTTAGTAGGAGTGAGACAAACAAGAATTTATAGTTATTTGACGAAGCAGAACAACCTAGAGGTTTAGACCACTTATAGAATTCGGAAGCTGTTCAATTCAGGATCCACCTGACTTGATCCACGTTTTTCTGTAGTTTCTTTAGAACATTTAGGCAAATGCTGAGGAAGTAATAATATTCCACAGATAATCATTCACTTCTCTTGAGTCTTCATTTTGTCCATCTCATCTTTCTTACCCCAACCACCATTGAGACTGATTATGGCATGTTAATGGTATTTAATAAGATCGAAATCGCGTTCCACGTCCGGTAGGGCGATCATTACTTTGAATAATTTTACAGTTATTTTGGTAAAAATATGAAATTACCCTTAAGTTACAAAAAATCTAACATATAAATCCAAACAACTTTATGATCAGACGTAATCGTAGTCAATATCATCATTCTTGAGGGAAAGGGTATGTATCTCGTTGGTTTGAACCTCATCATCATCATCATAAGATCGTCAGTCCTAAGACTGGTTGGACACGCACCCCCAATCTTTCCTATCCTGCGCATTTCCCTAAAGCTAGAACATCCCACATCCTTAACTATTTGCGAATAGTAATGTAATCTAGGTCTACCTATACCCCTTCTAAATTCCGTTTTTACCTCTTATATATCCGGCTAGACTTTAATGCCTGAGAAGGTGTCCTACTAACCTATCTCGCCTATTTCTTATTGACTTCGAAAGAGTCCTCTGTTTGAACCTATGACGTAATATATTAAAATATACCGGCATCAACAGCATAGTTATCATATCCTGACTGAAAATATATGTCAGTAGTCTAACCCTTATTATGACTGTATAAGTGCATACTATATAAATAATGCCAATGGAGTGCTAATGTTCTATTAATAATTATTCCCGTTTTTTGTTTCAGATACATACACAGTAAAGAGAAGCCCTTCAAGTGCGTCGAATGCGGAAAGGGTTTCTGTCAGTCGCGCACGTTAGCAGTCCACAAAATTCTGCACATGGAAGAATCACCTCACAAGTGTCCAGTTTGCAGCAGATCGTTTAACCAGCGATCGAATCTCAAGACACACCTGTTGACTCACACCGATATCAAACCGTACAACTGTTCCGCCTGCGGAAAGGTGTTTAGGCGGAACTGCGACCTGCGCAGGCACAGTCTGACCCACAACCTAGGCACCGGAAATAACGCGGGAAATTCGAATGCCGTCAACAACCAGAACTTTAGTATAGACTCCATTATAAGCGCAACCGCTGCCGCGAAATAGTCTGAAACTATTCACTAGATGGAAATGTTAAACGACAAGTGAAACAAAAGTGAGTGCAATGTAAACAATTAACGGAGAGAATTTGTAAGAAGTATTAACACGAATTGAAAGAAAACGCGATGGTTTTTCTTTTTTGTTCGATTTAACTTATGGGCAAATATATCAGCCCAAGTTGTTGTTGTGTAAAGATGATTTAGCTGCATTAGTGTACTTGTAATTAAAGCTGTACTGTGTTGTAAGAAAATTAATAAATTTTTTGTATAAACTTATTATCAGTTGTTTAAAAATTTCAAAAATCATAAACGCAGATAATCCTTACGGAATATTAAAACAATATTACTTGAATGCACTTGCTCTAAACGTCAAACTTTTAAGGTTAGAATGCACCTGTCAGAATGAAAGCGTTTAAACCCATTCATTTTACTGTAATTGTTTACTTCCAATGTTGAATACCGCTAAGTAAGTGATTTCTAATTAAAAATTCTGATTAAATAACAACATTCGACATAAGACGTTTTGAGTAACAGCTAGTGCAATAATATCGTATCATCAGCTATCCTAGTGGTGTTGATTTCAGTTACAAAACCACCCTTGCTATCTTCTTTTTTTAACTTCACCCCTCATCTTTTTTTGCTATTTTTCTACGATCTTTAACAGAATAGAAGAGTATTTGGTCATAAATATCTGAATAATGAACCAATAAACAAATAAACCTACGCAAAAACATAATTTTATAATCATTTATTGATATTCCTGGCTACAAAATTAACACTCATTCTCATTATGGGTATACCCCAGCAGGGGTTTTAAGAATTTAGTTAATAAAATAAAAAAAATTGCAACAAGCATGGTTTAAATACAGTAAACAGCATTCCCGTCGTTCTTAACTTCACAAAAAAAGAAGCTTTTAATGAAAACATTTTATGAGGATGGTACCTAATATATAATTTCTAAATCAATTTCAAAACGTTTAAAAAACAATTTTACGATTAAATTTTCAATTCAATTTGGAAAATAAAAACAATACGCTTAGTAAAATATGGTTAGGAAACGGCAGCCAACTACGACCTAATTTATGGCAGCCCGGGCAGTAAAAGAGTTGACTACATTCGAATATTCATTTTCATAAGATGCTTTATATTTTCATAACGACTGCCCCGTCGGTCCCCTCGTGTTTATTTAATGCCGTTTACGGAATTGAAAACAAAATGCCACGGAATTATTAGCATAATAATTTCGTCTACTGGATTTTTAAAGTAGTTTACGACCGTTTCAAACGAGCGCCGCGCCGGCCCTGTTAAAAGCCGAACAGTTCCAGCGGATGTTGGCACTATATCAAGACAAATTTTTCTGTTAAACTGTTGTTTGAAAACAACGAAAAAGAAAAAACATACTGATGTCCGAATTTATGTTCACCCATGCAGTGGCCCAGGAAACATTCTTTCAAGCGCAACAATGAAAGAGAACTAGAATAATTTTATATGCTAATCACTAGGCATTTTAATGAGTTTCTGTTTCGGGATCACCAAATGGGGTAATGCGTCTACGATGATTTGGCAGCTAAATAGAAGTAGCCTATGGTCAGGTGTCTATTATTTATTTAAATATTTGAATACGTACCTATATAATTCAAATGCTTTAAAAATTACTCGACACTTAAAAGACCAGATAAGTATCCATTCAAATATTTGAATATTCAAAATAATTTCAAATATCTGTAACTCACGTCAAACACCAACTTAAATCTAAGTTTGAGGTTATGTGGTTCACAAACTTGGGGAATCACATTTTAACTCATTTAACAATGTTTGTTTTCGAAAAATAAATATCTAATGAAATACTTTTTTTAACATACTGAAGTGTTTGGATATATTCGACTCTTCAGTAATTAAATTAAAAAAAAAAAACGACTTCGTTAGTTGATGGTATCTAACCTAAAACCATGTGTCTTAAAATAATACACTTTACAATCAATTGTTGCTGACATTCATGGTAATTAATTAATAACAATCCCATTGAAGATTTTTATAGGCGCGAAATGTAGCCATTAGTATACATAGATACTTAAAATATGCTTACCCATGCAAAAAAGTATTAGTTTAGTTTAGAAGTAAAATGCAAGATGTATATATATTAATCCCTAATTACACTCAATTCATTAATCATAAATTATAACGATTTACCATAGCCCCATATTTTAAGAGATCAACAACTCAATTGTACGACAACGTTTTCTAAATGCCAAGCGAATAAGGTACTGATACTGAATATAAACTGACTTTCCTTATATTAGTGTTACAAGCAAGTATTAACAACATTTTATTCGCATTGTATCAGAATTTCAGGTCGATGTTTCCGAAAGTGCAACCTTTCATTAGAAAGTGATCTCGAGCTCCTCTTCATGGATGATTTTGTAAATGTCATGGAAGATGTAGTTGAGTTGTTATTAAGATTTACAATGTTTAGTTGACGTAAATCATGCTATCATTTTAAAAAAACATTTTATCAATTAAAACATCAAAAGCAATCTAGATTTTTGGTTGTTTGCCTTTAGCCTTTATATGCAGTTAATATGATGATGGTCGTCTAATCGAATGTTTACGAATAGCTTAGCTATTTTGTGTACATCATATAAGCTATTTATTTAACATCTTTCTATATGTTTCAACATGGACAGAAATAATAGCGGGCCCAACGTACAACCTTGTGGTACTCCATTGTTTACTCTCTTTTTACTGTCAAGTAAATTATTTACTTAAAAACCATTTTATTTACGCACAGTTTTCATCATTATCATCATAAGGTCATCAGTCCTAAGACTGGTTCGACAAGCACCTCCACTCCTTCCTATCCTGAGCTAATCTTCGCATTTCCCTAAAACTAGAACAACCCACATCCCTAACTACTTGCGAACGGTAATCTAATCTAAGTCTTCTTCTACTCCTCTTAACTACTGTTTTTGTCTCTAATATGTCTCTGACTAGACCTTCATGCCTGAGAAGGTGTCCTACCAACCTATCTCGCCTATTTTTTATTGACTTCCATAGTCCCCTATTCCGCTTTTCTTCCTAATACCTATTCATTTCTAACCTTTTCTATCCACTGTACCCTCATCACTCGTCTGTAACACCACATTTCAAACTCTTCTAACTTTTTCTTTTTCGCCACGTCCACCGTCCATGTTTCGCATCCATACAGCGCCGCGCCCCAAACAGACACCTTTAACAATCTTTCAACAGTCTTGACAGTAAGTTTTTAATATGTAAAATACATATATTATTTAATGTTGCGTAACAAAACAAAAAATACTGCTATTTTCTGTTTTTATTTTTTTTGGCCATAACTTTCCATGTGAGTGTATTAGCAACTTGGGCAAGAGTTCTTGTAATAGTTATCAAGTTCTCGCGATGTTCATGTGAAAAAAATATCCAACAATTACTTCTCATCAGAAGTCATTGGGCCACGTATATCCTTATTCCCACACACACATATGTAAGTATTTATATATGCCTGCAACAATTATTAGGCACCTAAGGTCCTCAAGTACCTGATGATCAAAGCTATTCTTGCTTGCATCTTTTACAAGAATAAAGGTGACCGCCGTCAGACCGCACCGCATCCGTCACCGTTTGCATTGTGTAAACATGAAAGATCCATTGTTGCGCACTACAAAGAAACGCTTTATTTCATCTTTCAATACCTGGATTCACCAAGATTGAAATCGAAAGCTATGTCATCAACGATCGATAGCCACTTTTGGCGATGAAAACATTTCTATGAATGCAGTTCTAACAACAAGAAGATATACCACTAATATAAAACATTAGATACTTTTCAATCAATGCAAAAGTAATCGAAATCATTTTAACATCACGTACAAATGATTGTAGGCAGAGAAGACTAATATAAAAATAGTAATATCCCTGACCTGTCATAGTGATTGCAAAAGGAATGTGATTCGTATGCCCCTCCCCCCTCACAATTTACTACAACAAATATTAAAATATTCATTTGAATTAAATGATAGGTATCAGTAGGTAATATACCGAAAAATGTGCCACCAAAAGACACTCCTCCTATAAATTTTAAACTGGTAAAAGTAAAATTCGAAGTGGAAATGGGTTTCCTTTTAAATAATAATACTGGAAAAGGAGAGCGAAACTTCTTAGTTTTGGAGTTTTATTACAAAGTTGTATTCGAACCACAGTGGGGTATGTGCTCATGTGAATGTACCAGGGAATCAAAGGCCTGATCATTGAATTTGTCGTGGTATCTAAAAAGGGTTTTTCTCATCTGTTTCTGTTTCATATTTCACAAGAGTAAAAAATAGCACCAGGCAGTGTATCACCCTATAACAGTAAGGCATTATCAAACATTTGGAATACTGATGTCGTGGTTGTTCGGGCTTTCTGGCCGCCGTCTTTCAAGGTTTATCCTCGACGTTTCGTCGTCACGCACGGACGACATCTTCAGGAGATATTAGAGATCTCTACTGACTACAGCAGCAGTAATAACTCCTGACGATGTCGTCCGTGGGTGGCGACGAAACGCCGAGGATAAACCTTGAAAGACGACAGCCAGAAAGTCCGAACAACAACATTAACGATGGCCGCAAAAGCTTGAACCAAATTTGGAATACTATTGTTATTTGCGGTAAATACACTGCTTATCTTACAACAACTTCAATTCGGTCAGAACCATACCGTACTGATAAGTACTAATAAGTTCAAATCTGATGTTTTCGATAAATTACTGATCAAGATCTTAATGTTCTTTATCATCATCATAAGGTCGTCAGTCCTAAGACTGCTTGGACACGCACCTCCACTCCTTCCTATCCTGACCTAATTTTCGCATTTCCCTAAATGTTATTTAAATATATGAAAAAACATTGGAATATGATTAAGATATTGAAAGAGAATGCTCGTTTATCCATTCATAGTGCCGATTTTTGTGAAGATGAGCTCACATGGTACCAATAGCAATGATGATAATGTATTATGGCTTAGAGATCCCCTTGTCAGCCCTTCTACAGTTATAAGTGCACATATTTTAAGATAATGTTAGAGTTCCATTGCGGCTGTCGTAGCCCTGGTGTTCACTATAAAGAACTCGAAAGCGATATGATTTATTGGATAGTGCGGTATGACATATGAAGACAACTACCCCAGGCCATCCGTCTTAGCCGAGTCAAAACTTTTCGAAATGCCGAGGGTGTACGAGGAGGGTATTCTCGTATGCACAGGTGGCGTC